AGGCCTACCGAAATCACCGAATTTCGATAGTTTTCGAGTTATAGTTTTTTTTTACAACTCTAATTACATCTTACGACATTCACAGGAAAATGGGACTTTCTTCACCTAGACAACATTTCTACAATAAAACAATTCGAATGCGCATTATTCTGATGTAACTTTTTGTCATTATTTGGTGTCTTTATGCTTATCCTTCAAGGCTTCCCATATCAGTTAAGAATGCCATAAAATGGTAGGCATTTACGGCGTTCGTGACATACTGATAAACAGTTCGACAAGTAAATAGTATCTTTGAGGTTGTCCAAAACTGGACATCTTTACTGAAGTATTGTAAAAGGCTATGTCAGCTCCCCTAGATAAAGATATGAAAATCGCTTCGCTAAGGCTGGGTTGCACCATCTTACTTTAGCTTTGACAAACGTCAAAAATCTGTCAAATTCCACACAAAAACCACCGGCTATCGTCATAGTCATGGTCAAAGTTAGGTGGTGCAACTCAGCCTAAAACTTTTTTAGCTCCGTAAAGCGATTATCTTGCGAAATTGAAACTAGGTATTACAAATCTTTTAAGGTGGGTCTGTGCTAGACAAACCGAGCACGAGTTAAGCGGAAGCCGAGCTGCTCTACTCGTGGTGTGTGGACGTACGACGAGCCTGTAACTCACTATTTCTCCTATACGAGATACAAATCCCTTGGTATTCGTCAAAAAACGGACACCGACAATAGGCGGAGCACAGTTTGACGCTCGTTCGAGGCTCGCAACTCGGTCCACACTCCACGAATTTTGGCTCAGCACATGCTTTGCTCGTACTGGAACTTTTACTTTCCCTAGGGCCTAGCTAGGGGGACTGAGTCAGAACAGGTTACTATAAAAACGTGGGTATATTGCAAACATTGAAGTAATATTACTACGTAGTACATTATAACTCAATGGTTGCAAAAAGACCTGACAATATTTTATCGAATAGGTATACAGGTGTAGCTTTTACTCGCCAAACTTAAGATCCATGAACCCAAAGTGACTGTAGTCTCATAAAAATGAACTTGAATTATCTCAGACGATAACGTAACGGGAAGCGTAAAATAAACAGAACCTCCACATGACCGTAATATTTCGTTTTCACTCGAAAACAAATTGTCATATACTTACTTATTTGACTATCTTTTGAGTTGTTTTTGTGAGTTATTTCATTTGAAATAAAGGAGACAGGTAGGAAGTAGATACTAGAGTTGTAAAAACTACTGTTATGGTGTAAGAAAAAATTATACCTACCATCATAGGAGTATCAGTAAGTGACTACCTTCTTTTAAACATTTTTGAAACGATTTCAATAAAATATTGTAAGGCTTGAGTTACTAAAACATATTTTTGTCATGATAGACATGGCTTTACTTTAAAAGAAAAGAAAATTAAATATTTAAAAAATAATTCTTAACCCTACAACAACAGTCGGAGAGTTTCAAATCAGTACTCGTAAGTTACATTCTTTTCTTTTTGGTATTGGAATTACCTGTCTCAAACTGTGGGTAATAAATTACAGAAGACCGAGTGAATCCAGCTGTCTAGTCGAGTGCTTTAAAACTGTTTTAAATGCTAAATAGCTTCTGGATTTTATTCGAATAATTTTAGTTTAGGATGTCGCGTACGGGTAATTTCGTTTTAGGTAGGTACAATGAAGTATAAAAAGATTTATCAGCAAAATATTCATAAAAGTAACGGTTAACTTAACTTTAACGAAATATTTTTTAACCAATTTAAATAAAAGACAAAGGACAATGACCAAAAGTGGTCCAAATGTCCACCACCAATGAGACCTATATTGGCTTATAGTCCATTAAATAGAGATTAACTTTTAGTATGGGACGAAAAAGAAATAAGCTGTCAGTAAAAAGTTATGACTGTTTGAAAAAATTTAATAGTTTACGCGCTAATCTCAGGAACTACTGGTCCGCTTGGAAAAAATCTTTTTGTTTTGGATAGCCTATTTATCAAGGATGGTTTTAAGATAACATCACCCAATAACCAGTAAAGACAAATGTTGTAAAAATGGGAAACATTATTCTAACAATTCTCACGCGTACAAAGTCGTAGGCACAGCTAGTATAATATTTAATAAAGTTCATCTATAACCCCGCGCCACATGCGACATGATAAAACATGCGTAGGTTAGTCCAAAATGTGCAATGGATAGAATTATATCAAGAACATTTTTCGGATGAAAAGGTAAAAAACAGACTTTTCATTCAGTCATAACTTTTTACTGACAGCATATTTTTGATTGAGGTTTGGTTATAATGAATCAGTATTTAGTAGACTATTTTAGGGTTTAGACTATCATAGGTCTCGTTAGTGGTGGACATTTGGACCACACTCCATACATTTTTGGTCATTTTCCTTTTGGATTACCTACCTAGATGATTGATTGATGATTCACTCACCTGATGGAAAAAGATGAATCAAGCCGAATGTAAAACTGTTTTGGAAAGTGTAAAAGAGCTACATAAAAGTGTAATTGCAAATCAAATTATGCATTTCAGCATACTAGGATAGCCTCATATTTTTGTATAAGTCGTATTCTTTGATCAAGACCTGCAAAAATACTGAATAAGAACCAAATGACTCAGCAGCGATGTGGGATGAAGATAGATGTACAGACGTGGCAAAAAGTTAATGGGAAACTGACACTTTAGTCGGGGTTTTGTTCACAGTTTTACGAATTTCGCTGTGAATTTATTTAATTTACTTTGTTTTGACATGGACTTAAATTACTAAGGTATTTGAACTTCAAAGAATCGATTCTTCTAACAACTGCCTTCTTTCTCTGTTATCCGAAAGATATTGCATCTTAGGCTTAATTACACCACCTTATTTTAACCGTAAATAGTCACGGTTATGGTTATGGTTATAGAACTATAACCGGTGTTTTTGTTTGAAGTTTGACTGACTTGACGTTTGCTAAAGTTAAAGTAAGATAGTGCAACCCAGTCTTAGCTTTAACCTTTTGCCAATTCAAAATTTTTATTTCAATATCGTACGAGACAACTGCATGGGACATTGTTAATTTGTTAACCCGTCATCCGTGCATGAACGAAAAAAGTGATTGTACGTACAATAATTACGATTAAAGGAACCAGACAAAAACAATGCATGTGCAATCTTCTCAAATTAGAGGACCTTCAAAAAAGCGCACCAGACAGAATATTGCGCCGCATTTAAGGGGTTAATACAATATTAGCCTCATCAACCGCTGCTTCTAAAAGAAAATGAAATTGTAACACTTGCAAAAATACTTTCGAAAGGTGATTGCACATTGTAGCAGTCGCTTGTAACAGAACAGAATTTTATTTGTTTGGATGCTAACTAAAATTAAGCATAATTTTGATATTTTGTTTATAGGTAACATAATTATGTTGGTATAAACAAAATATTTTGAATTTCATGAAGGTTTTTATACCTAACAAATAATAGCCTTCGTCACCGTGGGCCAGCGCATATTATGCTGAGTGGGGTCCCGTTGCAGTGGCAGTCTTGTTGGTGAACGGGTGGCACTGCTCAGTTTACTCCTTTTTTTTCTTCTTCCATTATTATGTGCCACTGTTATGTCTATGTAATTGCCTGTATTTGTGTGATGTCCATGGTAATAAATGTATCTTTCTTTGTTTCTTTTTTTCTTTCTTTCCTAATATAATGCAACACGATGGTGTACCCTAATGTGAACGCACCCTAGCAACTAAGTAAGCCAAACTCATACTAAAGTTACAAGAATATAAATAGCTAGTTAAACCTCCTCAGAAAGTCAGAACTTATTCTGACACAAGCATTGCGAGACTTTGAAAAAGTATCAACTGTAAGCCAATTTTTTACAATACAGCTAGCAACGCAGCCATTGATAAAATGAGCTTTAAGGATGAAGATATAGAGTCGAAAAAAGCCTGAAGTCGAAGGTTGTGAATGGGCAGCTTCGGCAGTAGCTTTTTTATGGAAAAATAAATAGGTTGTGGTTATTAGGATTCTTCAATTTAATTTATCTCAAACATTAATTTTAGTTCATATCAACTGCCCCGGCGAACTTGGTACCGCCTATATTCATTAGAAATAATGGACAAATCATATAGTGAAGTGATTTTTCAAATCAGCCCAGTTGTTTCGGATTCGGAGTCTATTCGAAACAAAATAATAATCAAAATCTATCCTCTAATATTAATGTAGATAACTTTATCATCATCAGCATCATCATCTCATAGGACGTCCACTGCTGAACAAAGGCCTTCCCCAATACTTTCCATGTTGCCCGGTTGGTAGCTGCCTGCTAAGATAAGTAAGATAAATTTAACTCTCAACATTATTATTTACTTGAAAATTCCGATATGTTTGCCAATGTCACCACTCAGTGGTCACTCAAGTAAAAGTCTTTCTAGTTTCAAACAATGAAATGTTTCAAGCGATTTCAGACTTTATTGTTATCTATTCTATAGTTATTATAGTTATAGATTAGGAATTTAAGTAGGAACTTAAATTCCTAATCCAAAGACAAATAGGACCTAAACCTATTGTTATTCTAAATCTTAGATTTAGTTTCGAATAAGATTTTATGGACTGAATGCACATCCAAATTAATTGAAAGAATTGTCTGAATTTGTAGAGACACAAAGTATATTCACATAGATTTACGAAGAATGTACCTACATAATTTTGTGTATAAGATTAAGTTACTACAATATTTTCTCATACTTTGGAGGAAATAAGAAATATATATTTTACACTTAGGTATTTACAATGAATGAAACTTACAAAAATGTGACGATCTAATTTCGTGGTAATTCACTTAGGTATAGACGACAGCACATGTACCATCGTCTCTACCAACACAAAAAGAAAATAATGTCAATCCATAGCCAGGCTCTCTCTGGTGGCCATAGACCCCACATAAATCTCAATTTGAACTGCTGTGAAGATACGGTTTAAAATCAATGACTTTTTTTGAGACTGTTTGAGGTTATTTATCCTGTAGCGATCGTAGGCATCGCAGTTGATGTCAGGTTGGCTAGAACGCCTGATGTCGAATTGCTGACCGCCGGCGGCGATGGCGTTGTAAACTGAACCATCACTAGCTCGTACGTCACTATTGTGCCAGCTACCTGCAAATAAATATAAACAGTCAATGGTTTGTATTTTAACCAACTTCAAAAAGAATGAGGTTATCCATTTTGGTTGTAATTTTAACTGTCAAATTTTACTCGACACTAGTCAAGGAAGAGTTGGTGTTGTGTAACATAACGTTTTACAGAACATCATGGTTATTGTCTTTAGTCATAGATCTCCTCCAAAATGATCCATTTTACCCAGCATCTTTTCAAAAATCATCAATCGAGCTAAAAGGCGTCTTGATATTTTATGTTTTTCGAGTCCCGGTCTCTACTTGAGAAGTTGCCACAGTGGTAATCGGTTCATTGACATTATGACTAGCCTATATTGAAAAACATGACGTCATGACATAGGTACTTACTGATAAGAGAAGTCCTCTTGTGACGCTGAAGAACTGAAGACCACTCAATGCAACGTTATCGCCATTGACTTGGTCCAAGAATCTTTGGACCTGCAATCAAAAGATTGTTTTTATAAAAAGATTATAAAACTAGCATAATTATTCCTTTCATTTGATTTATCAAGTTTGTTTAAAAGATTTTATCCTAATTACTGACCGTAACGATCGATGTAATAAAGATTTTAGTTGGTTCGATTCCCGGGAGTGGCAAGCGAATTTTCTGAAATCTCTGGATGCAGTTTTCATCTTCTTTTTTTCATTTTAAAAGGAATGTATACTTTGTACAATTTTTTTTATCGACAGTATTAAAAGTACTTTCCCTTGCGCCTTGAGGTGTCATTAAAAAATTCCACCTTGTCTATATTTATTTACTTATAGTTATTGTTATTGTAGGTACTTACCTCAACACAGTACACTGGTGATGGCACCTCATACAACACTGGCGCCGGCACCATAGACGCCGCATTGACTTGAGAGGCTATCAATGAAACGGCTATCGATCTTGAGATGAGATACACCAAAGAGAATAGAAAATACGTAGCCGCTTCATAGCCTCCCAGAAGTTTTACTGATGTCCTAGAAAATAAAGAGTAAATTATAAACTATGCTTAGGATATTTGCCTCTGGACAGCTTCATTTTTCCATTAAGATATGTATTGAGTCATCTTTATGGAATGACTAGCTGTGCCCGCNGCGAGATACAAATCCCTTTGTATTCGTCAAAAAACGGACACCGACAATAGGCGGAGCACAGTTTGACGCTCGTTCGAGGCTCGCAACTCGGTCCACACTCCACGAATTTTGGCTCAGCACATACTTTGCTCGTACTGGAACTTTTACTTTCTCTAGGGCCTAGCTAGGGGGACTGAGTCAGAACAGGTTACTATAAAGACGTAGGTATATTGCAAACATTGAAGTAATATTACTACGTAGTACATTATAACTCAATGGTTGCAAAAAGACCTGACAATATTTTATCGAATATACAGGTGTAGCTTTTACTCGCCAAACTTAAGATCCATGAACCCAAAAGTGACTGTAGTCTCATAAAAATGAACTTGAATTATCTCAGACGATAACGTAACGGGAAGCGTAAAATAAACAGAACCTCCACATGACCGTAATATTTCGTTTTCACTCGAAAACAAATTGTCATATACTTATTTGACTATCTTCTGAGTTGTTTTTGTGAGTTATTTCATTTGAAATAAAGGAGACAGGTAGGAAGTAGATACTAGAGTTGTAAAAACCACTGTTATGGTGTAATAAAAAAATTATACCTACCATCATGGGAGTATCAGTAAGGCCCGGTTTTTTGATTCGTAGTTAAAATAACCAATAGTCAAATTTTGCTACTAATGGTTTAATATAAACAAAATGTTAACTAACAGTTAAAAAATGTACTAAAAGTCAAGCTAACCATTGTTTGAAAAACATTTTTTTCTGATATTTAACCACTTGTCATTTGACATCTGTCAAATTTGACCATTGGGTAATTTAACTACGAATCAAAAAACCGGGCCTAAGTGACTACCTTCTTTTAAATATTTTTGAAATGGTTTCAATAAAATATTGCAAGGCTTGAGTTACTTAAACATATTTTTGTCATGATAGACATGGCTATACTTTAAAAGAAAAGAAAAGTAAACGTTTAAAAAATAATTCTTAACCCTACAACAACAGTCGGAGAGTTTCAAATCGGTAAGTTACGTTCTTTTCTTTTTGGTATTGGAATTACCTGTCTCAAACTGTGGGTAATAAATTACAGAAGACCGAGTGAATCCAGCTGTCTAGTCAAGTGTGCTTTAAAACTGCTTTAAATGCTAAATAGCTCCTGGATTTTATTCAAATATTTAGTTTAGAATGTCGCGTACGGTTAACTTCGATTTACAATGAAATTTACCTATGTAAACGTAAAGTTATTAAAAGATTTTATCAACAAAATATTCATAAAGGTAACGTTTAACGTTAAAAACTTACCTCATACTATTTTAAGCTTCTTTAATGAGACAAAAACTTGACTACAGATAGGTATGCAGGTTTTTGACTCTCCAAACATTAAAATTACGAAAAATATTTTTTTAACCAATTTAAATAAAAGACAATTTTGGATTACCTACCTAGATGATTGATTGATGATTCACTCACCTGATGGAAAATGATTAATCAAGCCGAATGTAGAATTGTTTTGGTAAGTGTAAAAGAACTACTTAAAAGTGTAATTGCAAATCAAATTATGCATTTCAGCATACTAGGATAGCCTCATATTTTTGTATAAGTCGTATTCTTAGATCAAGACCTGTAAAAATACTGAATAGAATCAAATGACTCAGCAGCGATGTGGGATGAAGATAGATGTACAGACGTTGCAAAAAGTTAATGGGAAACTGACACTTTAGTCGGGTTTTTGTTCAGTTTTACGAATTTCGCTGTGAATTTATTTATTTACTTTGTTTTGACATGGGCTTAAATTACTAAGGTATTTGAACTTCAAAGAGTTGTTTCTTCTAACAACTGCCTTCTTTCTCTGTTATCCGAAAGATATTGCATCTTAGGCTTAATTACACCACCTTATTTTAACCGTAAATAGTCACGGTTATGGTTAAAGAACCATAACCGGTGTTTTTTGTATGAGTTTGACAGACTTTTAACGTTTGCTAAAGTTAAAGTAAGATAGTGCAACCCAGTCTTAGCTTTAACCGTTTGCCAATTTCTAATTTTTTATTTTAAAATCGTACGAGACAACTGCATGGGACATTGTTAATTTGTTAACCCGTCATCTGTGCATGAGCAAATAAAGTGGATGTATAATTATATGATTAAACGAACTAGACAAAAACAATGCATGTACAATATTCTCAAATTAGAGGACCTTTAAAAAAGCGCACCAGACGGAATATTGCGCCGCATTTAAGGGGTTAATACAATATTAGCCTCATCAACCGCTGCTTCTAAAAGAAAATGAAATTTTGAGACTTGGAAAAATGTTTTAGAAAGGTGATTACACATTGTAGCTGTCGCTTGTAACATAACGGAGTTTTAATTGTTTGAACACGAACTGAAATTACACATGATTTTGATGTTTTCTTTATTGGTAACAAAATTATGTTGGTCTAATATAAACAAAATATTTTGAATTTCATGAAAGTTTTCATACCTATTTTTTCATTTTTTTATGCATAACAAGGCAGGTATTTGACCACAATCGCACCTGATGTTAAGTGGGATGCAGTCTAGGATGGTACATATCTGCCCTGTAAGTGCCTATTCACTCTCGCCTTGAAGAGGCCCGGATTATAGTTTTCGGGAAAGACAGCAGCAGGCAACGAATTCCAGTCCCTAGCTGTTCGCATTATAAAAGAATCATCGAAACGCTTAGTGCGAGCTGGTGGAATAGTGATACCTAACAAAAGTTTGCATTTTCTTCACGAGTCCTTTCCTTAGTGTAATCGAAGTTCAACGTACTTATTTCAGTGATATGTGTGACATCATTATCTAAAAGAATGCTACTTAAGTGAAGCAGCAAATCGAACGCACAGCGTGGAATAGAGCTCTGTGATTGGTTCGTGTGTCACCCTGTGCGTCCGCCCACTGTGAGACCTCATAGTAATGTTTGTGAATACGGGCGATAATGTACACAATAATGTACCCTAATGTGAACGCACCCTAACAACTAAGCAAGCCAAACTCATACTAAAGTTACAAGAATATAAATAGCTAGTTAAACCTCCTCAGAAAGTCAGAACTTATTCTGACACAAGCATTCCGAGTCTTTGAAAAAGTATCAAATGTAAGCCACTTTTTTACAATACAGCTAGCAACGCAGTGATTGATAAAATGAGCTTTAAGGATGAAGATATAGAGTTGAAAAAAGCTCAAAGTCGAAGGTTGTGAATGGGAGATGAAGGTTTGAAAATGAAGCCAATAATTTATTTTCCCCTGTAGCTTAGTTAGAAAAGCTCCTGCGCGCTCAGCAGGAGACTTGGGTTCAAGTCCTAACCAGTGCAAGTAATTTACAAAATAAAAATTGTAAGTAGATTTTATTGATTTCGATTCGAGCGGTAAGGAGTTAACTGTAGGAGCTTTCAAAGTGTTATAAATGCAGCTTCGGCAGTAGCTTTTTTATGGAAAAATAAACAGATTGTGGTTATTACAATTCTTCAACTTATAATTATCTCAAACATTAATTTAAGTTCATACCGACTGCCCCGGCGAACTTGCCCGGCCCGGTGAAGTGATTTTTCCAATCGGTTCGGTAGTTTCGGAGTCTATTCAAAACAAAATAATAATCAAAATCTTTCCTCTAATATTAGTGTAGATAAGTTTATCATCATCATCATCATCATCATCATCATCATCATCATCATCATCATCATCATCATCATCATCACCATCATCATCATCCCAGCCATAGGACGTCCACTGCTGAACATAGGCCTCCTTGGGGGAGGCTTGCTTTCCATGTTGCCCGGTTGGTAGCGGCCTGCTAAGATAAGTAATATAAGTTTAACTCTCAAAATTAATTACTTACTTGAAAATTCCGATATGTTTGCCAATGTCACCACTCAGTGGTCACTCAAGTAAAAGTCTCTCTAGTTTCAAACAATGGAATGTTTCAAGCAATTTCAGACCTTATTGTTATCTATTCTAATCTACTACTTAAATTCCTAATCCAAAGACAAATAGGACCTAAACCTATTGTTATTCTAAATCTTAGATTTAGTTTCGAATAAGATTTTATGGACTGAATGCACATCCAAATTAATTGAAAGAATTGTCTGAATTTGTAGAGACACAAAGTATATTCACATAGATTTACGAAGAATGTACCTAGGTACATAATTTTGTGTACAAGTTTAAGTTACTCGTACTACAATATTTTCTCGTACTTTGGAGGAAATAAGAAATACTAGTGAGGCAATACTTATTATATTTTACACTTAGTTATTTACAATCAATGAAACTTTCAAAAATGTGACGTAACTAATTTCGTGGTAACTTAGGTAATATAGTCGACAGCACATGTACCATCGTCTCTACCAACACAAAAAGAAAATAATGTCAACCCATAGCCAGGCTCTCTCTGGTGGCCATAGTCCTCACATAAATCTCAATTTGAACTTTATGCTGTGAAGATACGGTTGAAAACCAATGACTTTTTTTGAGACTGTTTGAGGTTATTTATCCTGTAGCGATCGTAGGCATCGCAGTTGATGTCAGGTTGGCCATAATTGATGATGAGTTGCTGACCGCCGGCGGCGATGGCGTCGTAAACTGGACCATCACTAGCTCGTACGTCACTATTGTGCCAGCTACCTGAAAATAAATATAAACAGTCAATGGTTTGTATTTGACCAACTTCAAAAATAAGGTCCTCAATTTTGTTTGTACATATTTAACTGTCAAATTTTACCCGACCCTAGTCAAGGAAGAATTGGTGTTGTGTAACATAACGTTTTACAGAACATTTTATTGCAGTGCCATTTTACCCAGCTTCTTTTCAAAAATTATCATCATCATCATCATTTCAGCCACAGGATGTCCACTGCTGAACATAGGCCTCCCCCAATGACTTCCACATCGCACGGTTGGTAGCGGCCTGCATCCAGCGCCTTCCCGCTACCTTTATCAGGTCATCGGTGCACCTTGTGGGTGGACGTCCCACGCTGCGTTTTCCGGTACGTGGCCTCCATTCCACTAAATTATCACTTGAGCCAAAATGCTATGTTTTCGAGTCTCTACTTGAGAAGTTGCCACAGTGGTAATCGGTTCATTGACATTATGACTAGCCTATATTGAAAAACATGACGTCATGACATAGGTACTTACTGATAAGAGAAGTCCTCTTGTGACGCTGAAGAACTGAAGACCACTCAATGCAACGTTATCGCCGTTGACTTGGTCCAAGAATCTTTGGACCTGCAATCAAAAGATTGTTTTAATAAAATGATATAAAACTAGCCTATGGAGAGTTTTGTAAATAATTTAAGGGGGTCCTGCACAGAATCCTTAAAATTGACATATTTTTAAATCACGAGTGCTCTGCGAATAATGGCTTAAATACATCAAAGGAACTTGTGTAGGGTAGCCCAATCCTTGATCTAGGTCGCCGCCTTTTCGAAATTTTAAATAAATACGTAAAAAATTAATAAACAACATTTAAAATGGAGACGTATGGAAATTTTATTTCTTCGAGAACTTTGTTAATTTAACGTATGAAGCAATAATTCTTATATGGAAATGTTCAAATAAATATTTTGAAGGTCGCCCCCTTTGTCGTTTTTGGTATTAATGCATTGATGTTGAGATTTTTTGATTTTCCAAAAAAAACTTTGCCGTGAAGAAATCAACAGGCGTTTTGCTTTATCGTAGCTGTCAAGTGTCAAATGTGTGTTTGTCAATCCTTTACAGAGTAGTGTAGAGCACAGAGCATGCAAATAGTAGCTCTTTTGTTATGACTTCGATTGTTACGAAACATGTGTTTGGGACATGTACCTATTTTGATATTTATTTTATTGTATTTTATTTTTATTTTATTCTGAAAATGTAATATGAAATAAACTTTTATTATTATTTGAATTATTGTAAATGATTGGCATTTTTATATTGAGTTAGCCAGTGAAAATAGTAAATGTGTGTGTGTTCAAATAAATAAATAAATAAATAAAATCTTGTTTCAGCATACCAATGTTATAATACCTATAAAAACACTTTAAAGTTCCACACTTGAAACATGATTAAAGTGGTTTTGTCAAAAAAGAAAATTAGTATCTGTCGAGTGTGATACTAAAACATAAAACATTTTACTGGTAATGCCTTGAAATGAAGCCGTAAAGTGTCTAGTCTAGCTGAAATAAAGCTGAGAACGATTTTGCATGTCATCACTTTACTACTAAAGTTATGTGTGGCATGTGAACAATTAACGTGAATTTTATTTTCAAAGGCAAATATGAGACACAGCAATTTAGTGTTATTTCAGTGTACATCAGCACATTAGTGAGGTAAGTTGTGTAATCTCTTTAATAATATTTTAATATGCTATGTTGTAACAAAAATAGTTGTGTCCAGTTGTACTAAAGTAATAAAATAATATTTCTAAATATACATAATTTAATAACTCAAAGGTGACTGACTGACTGACTGACATAGTGATCTATCAACGCACAGCCCAAACGACTGGACGGATCGGGCTGAAATTTGGCATGCAGGTAGATGTTATGACGTAGGCATCCGCTAAAAAAGTATTTTACGTTACTCCACCCCTTAGGGGGTAAAACGGGATCCACGCGTACGAAGTCGCGGGCGGCCGCTAGTCTTATAATAAAACTTACGCCTTCGATCGACTGCTACATTCTCCAGTGCCTTTAATTCCGTCCCTGTAAAATAATATGCAAAATTAAATTAACATGAGTTGCACGACGATACTGGATGCGGGCTGTTTACAAAAGAGCCAATCTTGAAATATTCAGATATGACAGAATTGACGATTTGTATGTACTACCAAAGAAATAATTTATTTTATAAATTAGACTTTGAATGTCACGAAGTTATAGCAGACCGCCTAAGGGTTACACAATCCAGACCCGCAAAAAATGCGGGGATCCGAGGCCTACGTTTAGCAGTAGACAATCCCAATATTTTTTCAAGTGATTTGTGTAAGTACCACTTTTTTAGCTTATTGACATACAAGTAAATAAGTAGACTGAAAATAAAACGCTACTTACTCCAAAGTGTTAAACAGTTGCAGGCAGATGAAGAATAGGTTGTTAGCGAAAGATATGAACACGATTCCACTGATAACTTCGTCGACTCGGCGGACCAGCTGTGTGGCGCGGCAGTAGTCTTCGCGAGTCGTCTTCCAGAACACTTCGGGTAAATACTGATGACAAAGACATTAATTAAGGATTAAGGATTCATTATAAATCCCTACACTTCTATCAAATCAAATTAAAACAAAAATATTTTATTCAATTGTGACCACTGGTGGCACTATGAACGTCAATATAGCTACAGTAAAACAAAAAAAAAGCCACCAGTCAACCAAAAAGTATCGGCTATTTTGTTATAAAATGGCAGTAGTGTCATTCAGTGGTAAGAGGGGATCAAACTAGTGCTCTTCGATTCTCGAATCACATGTCAACGCTGTTAGGCTATCGTGTAATGTTATCTATGCAATTTTTTGGTCTTTCTTCTTTCTTTTTCAGCCAAATGACGTCCACTGCTGGACAAAGGCCTCCCCCAAGGTTTTCCACAATGAACGGTCCTGCGCTTCCCGCATCCAGGCTCTTCCCGCGACCTTTACCAGATCGTCGGTCCACCTAGTAGGAGGCCTGCCCACGCTACGTCTTCCAGCCCGTGGTCGCCACTCGAGAACTTTCCTGCCCCAACGGCCATCGTCTCTACGAGCTATGTGCCCCGCCCACTGCCACTTGATTTTAGCAATTCTGCGAGCTATGTCGGTTACTTTGGTTCTCCTGCGGATCTCCTCATTTCTGATTCGATCACGCAGGGAAATTTATTACAAACTCTGTAAAATAACAGATCTCTGTAACTGTCGATTACTTAAAAACTTAAAAGTCATACCTTTCCTTGTGCAGCCAGGAGCTTCCCATTGATATGCTGGAGTCGCGAGGTGAGGTAGTAGCTCATGCATATAACAAATAGGTCGGAGAAGTTCCATATAAAAGTAGCCTGGAAGTGAAGGAACTGAAAAGATGAGCACAGTTTGATCTTATACTTTTTATTCGACTGAACAGTTCTTGAATCAAATATTTTTCAAGGATTATGATGAGCTAAGCCTAACACACAATACATTGCGACACCGCACTGCAAAGTTTTCGCCATATCGCGCAACGTGGCGCTGCGTCACAGATATTTCTATGAGATGACGCAGCGACACCGCTCCGGCTTCGCACCGACGCTGCAACGTATCATGTGCTGTGGCTTTAGAGCCACATCATTTCAGCCATATTACGTCCACAGCTGAACATAGGCCTCCCCCAACGATTTCAATGTTGATCGATTGGTAGCGGCCTGCGTCCAGCGCCTTCCTGCTACCTTTATGATGTCGTCGGTCCACCTTGTGGGTGGACGTTCTCTATATCTGTAAAGGTAATAATGCAAATACCTGAGTAACAGCTCCAAAATAAGGAGAGTAACGCAGTACGTTGAACACCCACGGGTAGGAATGCGTCACGAAACCCTCATAAAATGCTTTGTTTGGGTGACACACCATGGCTCCAGCAAACGCTGATAGCAACGATAAGATGTGTTCCACTGAAATAAAGAAAATATAGTAAACTTTATTAAAATATCGTGTACGTTACTTCAGCTGGAAAGTAGCTCCTAGGATGATATGAGTAGAACGTATAATTAATTAGTTCCCAACATGGTGTAAATGTGCGCCGAATTAGAGATTAGTGCGTGCTGTCGTTTTGGTACAAAACGAATAAAACGATTCCTGCTGGAGCAACGTTGTTCTAGCAGGAAAATTCTAAACGAATGATCGGAAAGAGAAAAACTGTGTACGAGCAGATAGCTTATATTTGTTCTATTATGTGAGCTGAAAATGTGATTTGTGCGTCTTCAGGTTTCGAGATATTGCATTTCCTGCCAGGGTAACGTTTTGCAGAATGCTCTATCTCAATAACCGTTATATGTGCGCCTATAGAATAAACACACACAAGTAGCTCTTGATTTGTGCGTATATGTGAAAGAAACATGTTTATGAAAATATTTATAAATATCAAGTAATCGAGCTTTCTTCAAAATCCGAAAAAATCGTGTAGCGCCTGAATAAAAAAACATACAAGCTCACTGAAAACTGTATTCGATCCTTCTTAATACGTTTTAAAACCATAAAAAGTTACAAAAACGCACATTCATGGGTCATTGAATAATATCACTAAAAGTAAATACGACGGTGCTATAATTTTGACGTCAAAATACAAGGAATCAGCTACACCAAGATGAGCGGATGTCAACCTTATAATTAGAGCGTTTATTGAACAAATATAAAATATAATATTCAGCTTGAAATGTATCGCTTAAAAAAAGATATGCACAAAAATATCAAATTGTAAATAACGGTTGATTACCCGACCAAATTTGAATGCATACAAAAAAGCGACGGATTCATACACATCGATGACCTTCCACATTGAGTGTATTAAACTTAAGCTGTTGTTAGTACAGTCGTGTTCAAATGAATGGAAAACCCTTATTCTTAAGAATCTCTTATCAATTTATCTTAAAAAGTATTTAATCATGACGTTAAATCACAGATCAATATCGTTCGAAAGACAAGACACTACTGGACAAAGGCTTCCCTCAAGGATTTCCACAAACACCAGTCCTGCGACATTCGCATCCAGCTACCTTCCGCGACCTTCACCAGATCGTCGGTCCACCTAGTGGGAGGCCTGCCCCCGCCACGTCTTCCTGTTCGTGGTCGCCACTTTTTGGTGGAACTTTCCTGCCTCAGCGGCCATAAATTGCTAAAAATGTTTTATAGACATGAAAGAAAAGTGATTTGTGTTGTGACAAACTAAATTTTATGCGGGTGAAGCAGTGGGCAGAAGCTAGTATTAATTTAATACACATATTTCACGTCAAGACTTAATTGTAAATTATAATATAGGCGCACTTACACATTACTCATGCCAGAGATAAGAAAAAAAAGTTTGTCATTAAAATTTATTTTTTACTTGTTATTTTGCAATTCAGTGTACTTCGTTACAACAAAGAAGAACGGTCATTTGTGACCCAGGCCCGACAGAAACGAGACATACCTCAGTTTTTTTGTCATGTCCTAATTAGTTAAATTATATATTTTTTATATTCGAAATCTATGTATAACACCAAAATATTACCCTTTGTTTTTGTTCAGGCGTTATACAAAAACTAATACAAAATGCCTATTTATCACCAAAATTGGTAAATGTGTGTACCTAAGAATTTTTGGATTTTGTAACTTCTCGTTTCCACCCTGTATAATCCGGCTGTATCTCCAGGTCACCTAGATACATTCCATAGCAGCTGTAATAGACATTTAGGTACATACATTTACCAATTTTGGTGATAAATAGGCATTTTGTATTCGTTTTTGTATAACGCCTGAACAAAAACAAAGGGTAATATTTTGGTGTTATACATAGATTTCGAATATAAAAAATATATAATTTAACTAATTAAGACATGACAAAAAAACTGAGGTATGTCTCGTTTCTGTCGGGTCTGGGTTTTTTTTGTATGGGGCGTGACCGTTCTTCTTTCTACCGGTTAGTGAGTATAGTTAAGAAGGTCATCGATATGTATGAATCCGTCGCTTTTTTGTATGCATTCGAATTTGGTCGGGTAACCAGCCGTTATTTACAATTTGATATTTTTGTGTATATCTTTTTTTAAGCGATACATTTCAAGCTGAATATTATATTTTATATTTGTTCAATAAACGCTCTAATTATACGGTTGACATCCATTCATCTTGGTGTAGCTGATTCCTTGTATTTTGTCGTCAAAATTATAGCACCGTAGTATTTACTTTTAGTGATATTATTCAATGACCCATGAATGTGCGTTTTTGAAACTTTTTATGGTTATAATACGTATTAAGAAGGATCGAATACAGTTTCCAGTGAGCTTGTATGTTTTGTTATTCAGGCGCTACACGATTTTTTTCGGATTTTGAAGAAAGCTCGATTACTTGATATTTATAAATATTTTCATAAACATGTTTCTTTCACATATACGCACAAATCAAAAGCTACCCGTGTGTGTTTATTCTATAGGCGCAAATATAACGGTTATTGAGATAGAGCATTCTGCAAAACGTTACCCTGGCAGGAAATGCAATATCTCGAAAACCTGAAGACGCATAAATCACATTTTCAGCTCACATAATAGAACAAAATAAATATAAGCTATCTGCTCGTACACAGTTTTTTTCTTTCCGATCATTCGTTTAGAATTTTCCTGCTAGAACAACGTTACTCCAGCAGGAATCGTTTTTTTCGTTTTGTACCAAAACGACAGCACGCACTAATCTCTAATTCGGCGCACATTTACACCATGTTGGGAACTAATTATACGTTCTACTCATATCACTCTAGGAGCTACAAACAAACAAACAAACAAACAAACAAACAAACAAACAAACAAACAAACAAACTCTTCAGCTTTATAATATTAGTATAGATGATTGCTAGCTATGCTAGGATGCGCACCATGACGAAATCTTATCAATGATTTTAGACGAAAAATGTATGGGCTTATCGTTTAAAATCAATAAAATGCTTCGAATTAAGTTAATCGTGGCGCTCCTCCTAGGCTTACTGGCCGTTTAGTCGACGATTTAGTCTGTATTTGAGGGTTATTTTGTGACAGTGGTTCTAGAAATGCTGATTTGTATTTTAAGGTTGCATAAACTTTGCTCTAAAACGAGATTACCTAATAAGAATCATGACATAATGTGCATTAAAGTTTAGACTTAACTTTAATAACGTGCTTAAAGTTAATGTATATCATTACAAAACACCTACTCGTAGTTTCAACGCCTATTAAGATTTCATGGTTTTCCTTCCATTTGATTTATCAAGTTTGTTTAAAAGATTTTATCCTAATACTACTGACCCTAACGATCGACGTAATAAAGATTTTAGTTGGTTCGATTCCCGGGTGTGGCAAGCGAATTTTCTGAAATCTCTGGATGCAGTTTTCATCTTCTTTTTTTCATTTAAAAAGGAATGTATACTTTGTACAATTTTTTTTATCGACAGTATTAAAAGTACTTTCCCTTGCGCCTTGAGGTGTCATTAAAAAATTCCACCTTGTCTATATTTAAGTTTATTACTTATAGTTATTGTTATTGTAGGTACTTACCTCAACACAGTACACTGGTGATGGCACCTCATACAACACTGGCGCCGGCACCATAGACGCCGCATTGACTTGAGAGGCTATCAATGAAACAGCTATCGATCTTGAGATGAGATACACCAAAGAGAATAGAAAATACGTAGCCGCTTCATAGCCTCCCAGAAGTTTTACTGATGTCCTAGAATAATAGAGTACCTAAATTATAAACTATGCCTCTGGACAGCTTAATTTAGATATTTTTCCATAAAATATGTCTTGAATCATTATCCGCGCTGGGATGCGCGCCATGACAAAATCTTATCGTCGATTTTAGACGGCTTATCGTGTAAAATCAATAAAATGCCTCGACAAAAGCTTATCATGGCGCTCAAACTTTTTTTACGTCGGGAAATGCTTTGCGCATATCCACTGGTCTATGGGGACGGCCAGTGAGTTATGTGGGACTCTCCCCGCCTGCTTACTAAAGGCGGAGCCTACCCAGTACCCACTAAAACCCTATGGTGTCCATCAGAGCCCAAAGAAACGGAGCCGCGAGTTATCATTAGCTTTACAGGACGTGGACGTATTTCAGGATTTTTCTTCATTTTTTAAGCTTGTGTTACGAGTGGGCTCACTACAATAGTAGAGCGGCGTTGGGATTCGAACCCGCGTTCCTCGGATCTCGAGTCGGCCATTCCGACCCCTTCACCGTTCGGCTATCGTGGCTATGTACATATGTATCGTGGCTCGTATTTTATTATGTGACATTGGTTTTCGAAAATGCTGTTTGTATTTTAAGGTTGCATAAACTTTGCTCTAAAACGAGATTACCTAATAAGAATCATGACAAATGTGCATTAAAGTTTAGACTTAACTTTAATAACGTACTTAAAGTAAATGTGTATTACAAANATTACAAAACACCTACTCGTAGTTTCAACGCCTATACCTATAAAAACACTTTAAAGTTCCACACTTGAAATATGATTAAAGTGGTTTTGTCAAAAAAGAAAATTAGTATCTGTCGAGTGTGATACTAAAACATAAAACATTTTACTGGTAATGCCTTGAAATGAAGCCGTAAAGTGTCTAGTCTAGCTGAAATAAAGCTGAGAACGATTTTGCATGTCATCACTTTACTACTAAAGTTATGTGTGGCATGTGAACAATTAACGTGAATTTTATTTTCAAAGGCAAATATGAGACACAGCAATTTAGTGTTATTTCAGTGTACATCAGCACATTAAAGTGAGGTAAGTTGTGTAATCTCTTTAATAATATTTTAATATGCTATGTTGTAACAAAAATAGTTGTGTCCAGTTGTACTAAAGTAATAAAATAATATTTCTAAATATACATAATTTAATAACTCAAAGGTGACTGACTGACTGACTGACATAGTGATCTATCAACGCACAGCCCAAACGACTGGACGGATCGGGCTGAAATTTGGCATGCAGGTAGATGTTATGACGTAGGCATCCGCTAAAAAAGTATTTTACGTTACTCCACCCCTTAGGGGGTAAAACGGGATCCACGCGTACGAAGTCGCGGGCGGCCGCTAGTCTTATAATAAAACTTACGCCTTCGATCGACTGCTACATTCTCCAGTGCCTTTAATTCCGTCCCTGTAAAATAATATGCAAAATTAAATTAACATGAGTTGCACGACGATACTGGATGCGGGCTGTTTACAAAAGAGCCAAACTTGAAATATTCAGATATGACAGAATTGACGATTTGTATGTACTACCAAAGAAATAATTTATTTTATAAATTAGACTTTGAATGTCACGAAGTTATAGCAGACCGCCTAAGGGTTACCCAATCCAGACCCGAAAAAAATGCGGGGATCCGAGGCCTACGTTTAGCAGTAGACAATCCCAATATTTTTTTAAGTGATTTGTGTAAGTACCACTCTTTTAGCTTACTGACATACAAGTAAATAAGTAGACTGAAAATAAAACGTTACTTACTCCAAAGTGTTAAACAGTTGCAGGCAGATGAAGAATAGGTTGTTAGCGAAAGATATGAACACGATTCCACTGATAACTTCGTCGACTCGGCGGACCAGCTGTGTGGCGCGGCAGTAGTCTTCGCGAGTCGTCTTCCAGAACACTTCGGGCAAATACTGATGAAAAAGATATTCATTAATGATTAATTATAAATCCCTACACTTCTATCAAATCAAATCAAATCAAAATATATATAACTCAAAGGTCTGACTGACGGACTGACTGACTGACTGACTCCACCCCTAAAGGGATACAACGGGATCCACGTGTACGAAGTCGCGGGCGTCCGATAGTAAAAAATATTTTATTCAATTTTGAACACTGGTGGCACTATGAACGTCAAATACAGTAAAATAAAAAAGCCACCAGTCAACCAGAAAGTAACGGCCATTTTGTTATAAATAGGCAGTACCTAGTGTCACTCATTCAGTGGTATAGATGAACTACACTGAAATGTCCCACCGACGACATTGACAGAAGGGCGCCACCATCTTCGTTCAACTACATGGTTTCCACCGTGGCAAAAGTCGGAACCAGCGATCCGCTATTGACGGTAGCCCCTGTCAGTGTCAAATAAAGGACAGTTCAGTGTAGTTCTTCTCAGTCAGGAGGGGATCAAACTAGTGCTCTTCGAATCTCGAATCGATAGTCACATGTCGACGCCGTTGGGCTATCGTCGACTTCTTTTGTGAATACAGTTAATCCATCTACTGACTATTCAGACACCAAGTTTTGGTAATTATTTACTAACTCTGTCTGTTTATTTGTACGTTATGATTCAGCTTCAGATGTTTGTAGCTGAAGATTACTTAAAAACTTAAAAGTCATACCTTTCCTTGTGCAGCCAGGAGCTTCCCATTGATATGCTGGAGTCGCGAGGTGAGGTAGTAGCTCATGCATATAACAAATAGGTCGGAGAAGTTCCAAATAAAAGTAGCCTGGAAGTGAAGGAACTGAAAAGATGAGCACAGTTTGATTTTATACCTTTTACACGACTGAACAGTTCATGAATCAAATACTTTTCAAGGAGTATTATATGAGTTAAATTAAATAAATAAAGCACACAATGCGTTGCGGCGGCGCACTATTGTTTTTTACCATATCGCGCAACGTGGCGCTGTGTCACAGATATTTCTATGTGACGACGCAGTGACACGCTCCGGCTTCGGACTGACGCTGCAACGTATCGTGCTGTGGCTCTAAGGCTGTTATATAATTATCTGCTCTATCATATATAGATCTTGAAACAAGACAATTAGGCACAAAATTGAATTCATCGTCATCATCATCATTTCAGCCATAGGACGTCCTCTGCTGAACATAGGCCTCCCCCAACGATTTCCATGTTGATGGATTGGTAGCGGCCTGCGTCCAGCGCCTTCCTGCTACCTTTATGATGTCGTCGGTCCACCTTGCGAGAGGACGTTCTCTATGACTGTAAAGTAAATAATTTAATTACCTGAGTAATAGCTCCAAAAGGAGGAGAGTAAGGCAATACGTTGAACACCCACGGGTAGGAATGCGTCACGAAACCCTCATAAAATGCTTTGTTTGGGTGACACACCATGGCTCCAGCAAACGCTGATAGCAACGATAAGATGTGTTCCACTAAAATAAAGATAATATAGTAAAACTTTGTTAAAATATCAACGCTCTAGACCAAATTTAAGAAGACTTTGGTACTTAGTCAAATGCGTATATTTTAAAGATAAAGTAAATCGCTATAGCTTTGCTAAGCTGTAATTTACATTATTTCGTGCGTTCGTTTCAGCCAAATGACGTGCACTGCTGGACAAAGGCCTCCCCCAAGGTTTTCCACAATGAACCTTCCCGCATCCAGGCTCTTCCCGCGACCTTTACCAGATCGTCGGTCCACCTAGTAGGAAGCCTGCCCACGCTATATTACATTATTTACTTGCATATTTTATTTTGAGTCCGAAATAAAAAATGAACACAAAAATAATTTCAAAAATTTCATAAAAATATGATGAAGAAAAATACACATAGCTTAATTAAAGAAATTAGTTATGATGAGTCATGAGACAAAATAAATGAAATAAAAACGATATTTGCACTAAAATGTATTCGATAAAATTAACACAGAAACCTCTAGCTTAAAGAAAATTATACAAGCAGTCATAAAATTGCAAAAATACGAAAAAAAACCTATACTTACGTAAAGCCAACATTAGTACTACAGTACAAGTGATGTTACACTTCTTTGTTAACACCGGGTCGAAGTTCGGATCTATATCCTCGTTCTTAGCGATGTGTTTGACCAGACCAGGCCAGGATATGGCCACGTGGAAGAACATTATCATTGTGATGCAGGTGGTCCCGTAGAATATTACTGGAGCTGAAAAAAAAGCAGAAATTGTATTGCAAATAAAGACTGAAATGCGGTATTGAGAAGTATAAAATGTCCAAAACTCAGACAGTTGTAAGCTCAGATCATAGAATGGATCCCTTCTATGATCTGAGGTTGTAAGAGACAGAAACGGGATGCTTCTAGATCTATAAAAGGTGCCTAGTCTACCAACTAATAACTTACATCGTTTATAATAGAGACTGATAATACAATAGATAGTTAAAATAGTATCTAATACAACTACATTTAAGAGGTCATAGTTTACAGTGTGCCCGGCGAACCAGGCAGCCATGATGTCACATCGACGCACTAATATGGACAAGGCGAACGCGAGGAAATGTGCGGGTAAGTAGGATCCATGACGTAAATAAACGAGCATATTTTGCGAAGTGATTTGAAGTTATTGTAAATCCTGTTTAAAATGAACTAACAACAGCTAAAACATCTTTCCTTTGAAGCACAACGACAGACGGTTCAAATAACCTTTTAAAACGTCTCTAGCATTCCTGTATCGAACATTTTAAATTGGCTAAACTTAAAACGCTTTCTTTCGAAACCACTACGAAAACGAACAAATAATCCATTACACCGACAATATCTGGTTACACAACAAAATTGAAACTCCTAAGGCTGGGTTGCACCATCTTACTTTAACTTTGACAAACGTCAAAAATGTGTCAAAATCCATACAAAAAGCACCGGTTATCGTCAAAGTTACGGTCAAAGTTGGGTGGTGCAACCCAGCCTAAGTATTGCCAAGAATTCTTTTAAAAGCTGAACGAAATCTTTGTTTTATTAATTGCGCTTTATTTTCAATTTCAAGGAAAAATTTCACAAGCAGGCTTGACGCTGTAGAACAAAGCATTCTTTTTTAGGTAAATTGGGAAATTTTTAATTAATAATTTAATTGGTGTTAACATTTAATTAATGGCGTCGACTTTTGGTAGTAATATTTATTTTAAATCACGTACCTACCTATCTATCGATTTAGTTGGTCGAATTGTTTTTAATAGCTTGGATTATTTTTAGCTTAAGAGTCACTAAGTACATTTCTTGCTCATAGCAATCTGATATATTGTGATTGAATCCCTTAATCAAGCTTTAAAATTACAAAAAAAGGATGAAACATTTCTTGTCAAAAATCATTTTCTACTGATGGCCTACCATTGATTAAGTCGTGAATTAAGTAAATAACGATTGATTGATGATTGTCCTTAGAGGCTATCGGTGTATCTTGGGGCCATCGTTAAACCAATAATGACGTCAACTGCTTGATAAAGACCTCCCCCAAGGTTCCACAACAACTTTAATAGATCGTCTGTCCAACGAGTAGTTGTAGCCATAATTTAAGACTACTAATGTTGGATGAATTGGAAATATTAATTGATGTTATTTAATAAGGTCCACATACCATTCCCATTGAGTGTAGTAGTTGTATGAGCTACTTTATGGATGCACATCACCGTCATGAAGAATTGTCCAAATAGCGTCAGAAAAGCGTACAAACACCTCCATGACGTGTAGACAAATCTGAAACGTATTGCAAAACCATAAGATATACTTTTAAAAATAAATGAGCTTGAACCTTACAATACAAACATACCAAATGTGCGCCTTCCATTTTTTTTTTCACTCTCGAAAAACAAATGAAACAAAGCCGACGTGGGAAGTGAAAATATTGAGTTACAGTGACAAAACTGATTATGCAAAAATAGGCTTTCCGCAAATTTCGGCGTCCCAATAATAAAAAACGACAGTGAGAAATTACTTTCATTTTATTCTCATACTTTTGTTTATTCTTTTAAGCAATCACCTTCAGACCCCCAAGAAAACGCGTTTATCTATTGTCTAATATTATTGAAAAATAAGAATTTGTACCAAATTAGGTTAAATTATCACCAACCAACGTAAGTTTGGCGCAACGTGAGCGCGATGTGACGTAATAAAATTCGACGATAATGACGTCACACTGGTCCAAGCTACTACTCGTAGACACAAGCACACAGGCATTGAATAAAATGGGACGTAGCCGTAGTCGTGTCATAGTACCTCCATAGTTTTGTCGTAGTACCTCCGGTAGTCGTGTCGTAGTAACTCTGTAGTCTTGTCGTAGCTACCACCGTAGTCATGTCGTAGAACTGCCGTAGAAGTGTCATAGCACAAATTTTATGGTCATAGTACCTCCGTTAGTCGTATCGTAGTACTATCTCCGTTGTCATGTCGTAGTACCTTTGTAACTGTGTCGTAGTACCGTCGTAGTCATGTCGTAGCTACCTCCGTAGTCCCATCGTAGAAATTCATTGTAGCGCGTAGTACCGCCATAGTTACTGTAGTATCGCCCTAGTTGAGTCTAGTAACGACGTAGTTGCATCGTAGTCACGACCCTGAGCTTACCTTACATTTGAGGTGTCATTGCTGAAGATACCAGTCACAGGCATCAGTGAGAACAGTTGCCCTATTATCAGTGTTATTCGTAGGGACCTCTGAAACGTTGCCTGTTTTCTGACAGGCTGAAACTTTGACACGACGTGTACTTTGTTTTCTGTAAAGATAAACATTAATTTCGTTCATTTTCTTAAATGCTAAATACTATAGATTTGTATCGTTACTCAATTCCAACCGATAACTAAAACAAATTTACAAAATTAAGTTGACATAACTACCTATTGTAATAATAATTGTATTCAGCATAATCTTTCAACAGTATCAGTAACAACAGATACCAATTAAAGTTATAAATAACTGCTTTAAAATTCAGATCCATAGTAGATACATTAAACAAAAGCTTGTGATTACGTCACTTCGTTATTGATGACGTATTAATGTTGTCAAATTTATCCAAAATACATGTGACTTACTTTTAATGGGTATCCAGAAGCCGAAATTCCGTTTCAATTGTTTCTGACCCATATTCTTTCGTTTGTAAAAAACGCAATCCTCCGTTACAACGACCATTTGAACTTGTTTGCCGATAACTGAATGTCGCTTATTTGTTTACGTGTCTGCAATTAGGGTTCAATCTGAAAATAATTCGTGACAAAAAATAAAAATAACAAAAATTAAACACATAATACACCTACCTACTGAGCAACTTTTTATAAAACGCATTGTTTTGCAATTGAATCGCTTGCTTGTTTGCTCAATAGGCTTTTTTAGAAAAAGTAAAAAGCTAAGGAGCTTTTAAACGTAGTTTAAACCAGCATATAGGTACAGGTAGATTAAGTATGTTGCATATCTAAATTTCTTGTATGAAAACCATAATATCAAACACAAAAATATTATGAGGTTTGCTAAACTTTGAGTAAATCATTAATTCATGCACCAAAATCTCCCCCTTTGAAATCATCTTTTTTGAAGACAGACATTTTCGTCAAATCCAGCTAACCGGTTTACTTGAGTCTTTCCAGACCTGACCATAAACAAAAAAAGTACCTCCTCTTTTTGATGTCAGTTAAAAATGTACGGAACTCTTAACCTCAACACTTCCATTATAGTTTTACTCGGATTCCGTGTACGTAGATAACTAATTCCCAATAATCATAGGGGTTATAGTGAAAACGGTGTTTACTTCCCCATTTACTACTCCACTGAGTTATTTTTTATGCAGCTAATGACGTTATGTTTTGTTTACTCCGGGTTTAGCCCTTTAACTGATTTTGAACTTTATGTTATTTCACGAAAGTTCAAAATATGGTGGCATTAAATCTGCCACAAAATGGACCTCCGAAGTAAAAGGTTAAAATTGATACCTACGACAGTTTTTATTAATGATCTTGTTTACATTGTAATTGTTGTGATTGGAGCTGTTTTCGTTGGAAAGCAAGTGTAATTAGAATTTAATTTTTTTTACGATACGGAAACACTCAAAGTTACAAATAACATTTATTTTAATAGTTTAACCACAAGTAAAGTGTGTTTCATCATGTCACAAGACGTCCACTGCTGAACATAGGCCTTCTCCAATGATTTCCAGATTGGGCTTTTGGTGGCGGCCCGCATCCAGCACTGTCTTGAAACCAATACCTTCCTGCAACTTTTGTGAGGTCATCTGTCCACCTCGTGGGTGGACGTGCCATTTTGTCACAAATTGTACTACTAGCTTCTGTCCACGGTTGTGCCCGCTGTAATTTCAATTGTTTGAAAAATCTTTATGTTCACAAATCACTTAAATTTGTTTAAGTGTCTTAAACGTCAGTTATTGACGTAATTTCATAACTAAACCGGTACTTCTACTAACTAGTTTGATTGAAATATTATTAAGCTAACTTAAAGAATGATTTTTTAATATCACAGACTACGTTTATCACTGTAAATGGACATATTAACGTAGGTCCAACCAATTTAAAACAAATGAAGAATCATTAATAAACGCTCGCATCGCGTGATCGAACTTATTGCTTTTCGTAGTTGATTTAATAGTTGATTTAATTTATATATCTGACAAATATTCTGTCAGTAAATAGTTATTTATTATATTTATTTGAAGCAGTGACTTTTATTTTTATTAAATGACATCATACTTTGTGATCGGACAGCAAAAACTTTAATAAAATTGGTTTCATGTTAACAAAAATATTACATGAATTTTACTTTTAATGATGTGCATTTTCATATTATTGTGATGTTGTTCAAAAATATTGTATTATTACTTGACGTGGCTAGTTTAAGATTTTAATTCATTTAAGGACTTGACTATTTTGTAAGATATAAATATTTCGTGGGTTCCAGTCCCGCTTTTGGCAGTTCGATTTTTTCAAGTTGTTTATTTTAAATTTATTTTGTAACATTTTACGAAGCTTCAGTGTTCTTACTTATGGTGTCACGACCCTTAATTTTTTCAGTATTTCCATGGTGCTAAGTTCAAAAATAAATAACAAAAGATAATTAAAAAGTATTTTTTTTTAATTTCATTTTGTAACCCAATGTTATTTAAAAAGAAATCCCTCGGAATTCTAAAGGTCTAAAGTAAGATTGGCGGAAAAATACGAGTGGTATAAATAAGGTAATTTGGCAAATAATTTTATTCTTATGACATTATTTATAATCCAATCCCCAGCCCCTCTTCAGTGTCGATAGTCAGCCATCTTACTTCACGATTCAATTTGTCTAAAGCTTGTTGTTTATTTTAAATTTATTTTGTAACATTTTACGAAGCTTCAGTGTTCTTACTTATGGTGTCACGACCCTTAATTTTTTCAGTATTTCCATGGTGCTAAGTTCAAAAATAAATAACAAAAGATAATTAAAAAGTATTTTTTTTTTAATTTCATTTTGTAACCCAATGTTATTTAAAAAGAAATCCCTCGGAATAGTTTCCGTGCTCCTTCGCACAAGCGTGAGCTTACGACTTAATATCGTTGTTTTAATGCACAATGCGGAACGTGGGATATACAATCAATATAATTACACTTTTATTTTATTTTATTTACCCACTGTTCCTGTAGAGCACTGAAAATAACTAACCTTTTACGAAGACCCGAAAAATAAAGCAGCACCTGCTACAAAATTACAAATTTATAAAATGAATTTTGAACTTTAACTCTTTTTCGTAAAGTTTAAATTTATGGTAGGTTTTGACAGCACTACATTGTATGAACTCATACTATGAGTATAATTGTTTGTAGCAAAAGCACACTCGTTACAATCAGGTACAGTTGACAGAACTTCAGAGTACATTTTTATTGAAAAATAGTACCTATTGTCAACTAAATAAGATGTCACAGTGTTTGGTTTGATGTGCCGTTGTCTATATTTTATTCAAGCGCAATAAGGTTTAAATTCCAATAAAAATGTGTGTAAACTTTAGCACATGACTACATGATTTCGCGGTGTTTACTTCAAATAATATCCATGACAGTATTACTCAAAATTTTCACCTAAGCCCATATTATTTACTGAAGCCAAAGTATTAAGTTTATGCAAAGATACGGCAAGATTGCACAAACTTGCTGTATTGAGTCAATATTTGCCACCAACCGGGTTGACGCTGATTACAAGATAAATTACTTCGAAGAGCAAATTTCCCAAAGAGTAATCAGGGGATATTTCAATTTCGGTGATACAGGGTTGTCAAGAAGTTTATCTAATACTTAATTAGATTTAGCTAAAGAAGCGATTAAATCTGGCTTCCATCTAATCATAAAAGTTATTTATATTCCTAACAAAATAATATTGACAACCGAAACTTACTAAGGTAATCTATTGTTATAGATCGTGCCATTCACGAAGACGCGCCCCACTAATTTTTGGTCGAGGAGAGCGCGGGGTGCGGGAAGTTTGACCCGAGCAATCCGAGCGTCATTATTGTAAAGCCTGGTCCGTGAGCACGTAGAATCCCGTTCAATGACCCCAAGCTACCCATCCTTATCGCTCGCGCGTAATTATATTGCTGTCGCGACTGTGCGACACGCGCCCGTGAGTGTGCGAGCGCGACAGCAACATAATTACGTGCGAGCGACAAGCCAAGGATGGGCAGCTTGGGGTCATTGGACAGGATTCTACGTGCTCACGGACCAGGCTTTAGTGTACTCATGAATAATTTAACGTATACCGATAACGCTCAAACATTAGCGGAAGAATGGTGGGGCGCATCTTCGTGGATAGCACGATCTATAGCTAATGTGACTTATACGTGTAGTAAGGATTATTTTTGAAGATAGAGTAATATTAGCACTCTAAAAAGCTCTTATAGCAATGTAGAAAGAAAAGCATTCATATTCTAAAGACAATGTGACCAAAGAAAGATCAACTTGTTCTAGACGTCTAAAGTAAGATTGGCGGAAAAATACGAGTGGTATAAATAAGGTAATTTGGCAAATAATTTTATTCTTATGACATTATTTATAATCCAATCCCCAGCCCCTCTTCAGTGTCGATAGTCAGCCATCTTACTTCACGATTCAATTTGTCTAAAGCTTCTTTATTCTCAGCTAGCTTCAGCTCACGTATTAGGTTTTCTGTCATCTGGAAGATAAAAACGATTCACTTATTAGAACAGATTTTAAATTAATAGGTTTAAAATATTCTCATACTAGCTTTCCGCCCGCGGCTTCGCCCGCGTGGAATTTTGTCTGTCACAGAAAAACTTTATCACGCGCGTCCCTGTTTCAAAAACTGGGATTAAAACTATACTATGTCCTTTCCCGGGACTCAAACTATCTCTATGCCAAATTTCATCAGAATCGGTTCAGTGGTTTAGGCGTGAAAGTAAGACAGACAGACAGACAGAGTTGCTTTCACATTTATAATATAGGTAGTAAGTATAGATTTGAATTGCATTTGCTTTTCATTTAATAATTATTCTATGAAAGATGTACGATAAATGCTAGTAGCTAGTTTACTTATTATACGCCTACCTATTCGTTTTTGTCCTAAAGACTTTCTAGTTTCAGAAAGACAGACATATTCAGGAATTTAGACTCTGTGATTTGAAAAAGAAATCTATATTTGAACCTCATCTCATCATATAGCCCGCAATCTATATTTTATCAAACTTAATGATACAATGACCACTTAAATGTTCCCTGTTTCAAAATCAAATAAATCTCAGTGTGTATATTGCACTTACTTCAAATCTCTTATCTTCTCTGATGTCCTTAGTTTTTCTATAATGTAAATCATCTTCATCTCCATAAAATCTTCTTAAATCACTTCTGCTTAATCTGTGCAGGGGTATAGTATCTCTTTTCCTTAAGTTCCCCACTACAACTCCAGAAGAATCATAACCTATTGATTCTATAAAAGGTATCAGGAACTGGATCAGAATCAACAAGTGCAACATTTTGCATTTTGTTTATATTTCCTTGAAATTCGCATTTAAAATGGTGTTATACAGGTTGATGTTTTTTTTTTAAAGATTGACATTATAAGTTTTAAGATAAATTGGTAAGTGTTATAATAGATAGATTTCTAGGTAAGCTTGTAAATTTTCCGTTTACTTGTTTAGGGTTCCGTAGTCCTGACAAGCCCCTCATAGTTTCGTCATGTCCGTCTGTCCGTCCGAAGTTTTGCTTGGCCAATTTTTTTAGTGTCTCTTTCACACTCACCACGTAAACAGAAGTTGTATAAAGTGACCAAGTATCATTACAACTCTACCACATTTAAAGATGTAAATCAAATACATTATTCGCACACTCAAAAAAATATAAAACCTTCGTGAACATTCACAAATGGCATAATATCTATCAAAGCCTTCAAAATGTCGAGCAAAACGCAAATGGACTGGCATTTTTGCAGGTAACTTTTATACACCCTGTATAATGAGTGCGTAAGTTTTACGATGCGTATTTATTATTCGTAAATTGTTCAAGTTTTATGGAGAAATAAAACTGAAAATACCATACAGCAAATCAGTTAGTTATGTTACACATAAAAAATATTTTGTAAAACAAAAAGTAAAATAGTAACAATTTTTGTGCTCGTGACTGTACCCAGTTGTTATAAATTACTTGCAATGGACGTTTCATTATTTGTTACCACGTCATAAATGTGTCAACTTATTAGGTTAATTATGACCAGCTAAGCTGTGTCATGCAAACATAATTACAATGGGTATTACAATACTTTGTTGGCACCTATGTACCTACATGAATCTAAGTGATTTTAATTCTATTTCGACTTTTATGTGCTATGGCGCAATTTTGAGTTGTAATGGCGCATCCACACATGCCGCCGGCTTATGCCGCCGGGTTTGCCGCCGGCTTTCAAAATGCCTTGCCAGTGTGTCGTCCTGGCCGCCGGGTTGGCCGCCGGCCGTGCCACCCGGCATGTGTGGATGCGCCATTATGAATAGTGTTAGATGAGCCCACTACCGTTAGTTTATTTTAACCGATAAATAGTGGTGACTGCTTGTTACTGCGCCTTTTCAGTGCTTGCTTGGGTTTCAAAGCGGTGTTAGGGCAAAAAGATGAGATATGAAAATTAAAGGCTCCGTAAGGTCGAAGGTTATTTTATTTTTTGGTTTTTCTATAACGATTGGTCTTTAGACTTTGAATAGGTAACACGAAGGCACTGGATGTATAGGGCGCTACCAACTGGTAAATCTGGAAGTCATTTAGGAAGGCCAATGTTCATAGTTCATCTTCATTAATCAGCCATAGCCTCCTATTTAGATTTTGAATTTCACACAAGCAATGAATTAACCCTCTAAATTAACCCGTCTCGTCTCCCTTTACTGTAATTTACTGGATGTCCGCTGCAAGATAAATGATCATAACTTTGAAATACCTACTCAGGTATTCCGCACTCCGTTTGCATTCTGCAACTATTGCAATCCCAACTAATATTATAAATGCGAAAGTAACTCTGTCTGTCTGTCTGTCTGTCTGTCTGTCTGTCTGTCTGTCTGTTACGCTTTCCCGCTTAAACCTCGCAACCGATTTTGATGAAATTTGGCATAGAGATAGTTTGAGTCCCGGGAAAGAACATAGGATAGTTTTTATCCCGGTTTTTGAAACAGGGACGTGCGCGATAAAGTTTTTCTGTGACAGACAAAATTACACGCGGGCGAAGCCGCGGGCGGAAAGCTAGTTTGTTATAAACTGCATTTAATTCGCCGTCTGAATTTGTGATGAGGTTCAAAACTGGTTGTGATTGGTTTTAGTTTCAAATTAATTAAATCGACCGCTAAATGGTTAATTAGTTAAACAGGTTAAACTTGCCTAGTGTAGAAAAATCTATAACTGTTTTAGAATGGGAAGCATTGTAATACAAATTTAGCATTGAATGATTTAGTTATGTTACTTGTAAGTTTTGCAGTTTGTGCTAATTTTGTTTTGTTGAATAAATTTATTTATTTTTAAACTCTACAGAATTAAAAGCCAGATGGATTGAGGAGGCCTGATTTTCGCATAGGTGTCCCTTGGTTGCCTTTTACGACATTCACAAGAAGAGAGAGAAAGTGAACCCTTTCTACTATGCCGGAACCATAATGGCGTATTATTCTTTTTATTCCGTATTCCCTGCTTTTCCCATTCATAATAGTAAAGTTATTCTTCTTTTCTTTCACGACTTACCTAATTATTAATTAACTAGCTTTCCGCCCGCGGCTTCGCCCGCGTGGAATTTTGTCTGTCACAGAAAAACTTTATCGCGCGCGTCCCTGTTTCAAAAACCGGGATAAAAACTATCCTATGTTCTTTCCCGGGACTCAAACTATCTCTATGCCAAATTTCATCAAAATCGGTTGCGAGGTTTAAGCGGGAAAGCGTAACAGACAGACAGACAGACAGAGTTACTTTCGCATTTATAATATTAGTTGGGATTATTTAAATATTTTCTGCTTTCCCCAATCATAAAACAGTTTTTATTTTATTTTTCGTTACTTTATTGTAACGTCTCTATACCTTATAAGTTGGAAAAATGTATCGTGTTGTGTCGATGCTAAAAACTTATGTCACACTTTATGTGCCCGCAGCCTTATCAATCAACGCTTTTATCATGTAAAGGGTTCTCGGTACGCACCGTTATCGATTCGAAATCGATAAAAATTTCCGGGCCCTCAGTTTTACGCGTTTCCGAACATCTGTTCATGCGTCTTTCGCAATAATGAGTATTTCTTGGGAGGGTTGGTTCACATGGCTACATAAATAGCGGAAGAACAAAGTCATCTGACCATAAAATATTCATGTGGAAAAATAGCCCCGTTTATGAAATAACTGTATGAGATTTACAAGAATTATACAGGGTATTTGGCGGAAGGTTAGATTAACTTCGTGGGTGTATAGGTAAAGTCCTAAGTGAGCTAGTTTTTTTTTTAAATTGATGTTTTTGTTTCTATTTATTTTATTCCGAAATTTGACCTGAAAACTGCTTCAATTTTTTTTCTCGCCTGTTTTCAACCGATTTTTTTATTTGATATTAATATCGAATAATATGTACTCAAATAAAATAAATATCAGAGCCAGATGATGATTGAGCCGCCAAAGTTTAACAAAAGTACCTACAAACCACGATAAACAACTTAGACATTTTAAAAAAAACCGGCCAAGTGCGAGTCGGACTCGCGCACCGAGGGTTCCGTACCATTGATTTATGAAATTAAAATTATTATTTTTTATTTAAGTTATTAGTATGAAAGATTACGCGGTAATAAGCGGTTTACGATTTACGAGGTATTAAAAAAAACTACTTACTAGATCTCGTTCAAAACAATTTTCGTTGGTAGTTTTTATAGTAATGTACATCATATGTTTTTTTTAGATTTTTCATTTTCTTATTTTAGAAGTTAGAGGGGGGGGACCAACTTTTTTCCACTTTGGAAGCTTCTGTCACGCAAACTATTCGGTTTAGAAAAAAAGCATTTTAGAAACCTCGATATCATTTTTGAAGACCTATCCATAGATTTAAATACTTTATTATTTAAAAACTTCTCTAGCTTCTCTTCTTTCCAATGATACGTAGTAGTTATATATTGAAATTCGTCCAAAATTCAGTTTAGACAAGAAAATGGAATAGTAATTTAAAAAAATCATCCATACAAAGTATATTTTGAATTTTCATCATCATCATCAACAGCCCTTTACAGTCCACTACTGGACTATGAGCCTCCTCCACTATAGTGGAGGGTTTTGCCATAATCCCCACGCTTGGCAGGCGGGTTGGAGATCGCAGTTTAAAAGATTGATGTTTGTCAGAGAGCGCTGCTGCCCGTTCTCTGTTTGATGTGTAGTCCCTAAGTCGCCTCTTACGACACCCGTAGGAAGAGTAGGGGTTGGTGACAAATGGTTTTGAATTTTAGTGTATGACAATTTCGCTCATGTAAACCCATCTTTAATAACTGGGTGACTGTGCCATTTCCTTTTATGTCCCCGACAGCGAAACAGGGGGAGGGGTACATCTCAAGTGACCCGTATAAGTATTTTTTCTCAGGTCTTTTCATATTTTGTGGCCCTGAATTCGAGCAAGATTGATGTTTTAAGTGACCATCTTGCCGTGATAATCGCTTGGTTTGCGGTCGAATGAATTCGTAATGGATTTTATGCAGTTTCTATAGGTGCTGTTTTGCAATAAAGATGTCAAATGTATTGTGAATCTTTCAAATTAGCAAGTCTTAGAAGTCTTTCAATTGACGTTTTAGATGCCTGTGCTATTCTACGAGTATACCCTTGAATTACGCACAGGAGATATATTTTTATTTAATGAGACACGATGCACAAGTGGTAAACATAGGCCTCCCCCAATGATTTCCAAATTGACCCGATGGTAGCTGCCTGAATCTGGCGCGTTCCTCATACCTCTATGAAGTCGTCGTATTGGGGGAGGCCTATGTTCAGCAGTGGACGTCCTGTGGCTGAAATTATGACGATGATAATGTACCTACAGCAAAGACATTTCAATGTGCATCAAAGATTATCGTGATAAAATACAAAATAACAACTCACTTCTGAAATCTTCTCACGCACAATCGACACATAAAATACTCAATTTATTTACAAAGATACTCAAAATCCTGCTGAGTTTTGCAAAATCACGGAACACGAACTAGAACTACTCAAAACGTATCCGCAAACCAAAACAACGCAAAAGGTACAGTCACGTAGAAAATACGGGCTAACCGGGAAAATCTTCGGGCGATTCCGGTCAGCGTTTTTTGTATCGGGATTTTCAAATAATACTTTCAGTTGCATACGTTTCACTCTTGCATTTGTTTTAACCTTTTTGTATACCATTGGACTCTGTTACATTTTCTAAAGCCACCTTTAAGCCCGTTTTCCACCGCCAAAGAGGTATGAAGTAAAGACGTCTAGCGAAGCGGTCTTCGTGTACTTAAAATAGGATTGC